CCACCAGCATCATCGGAACCCTCATCACCAGTACCGTCGACGTGATCATCATCATCAGCATCATCATCATCAACACCATCATCACCACCATCATCACCACCATCATCATCATCATCATCATCATCATCAACAACATCACTGTCTTCATCATATTCGGGAATCAATTGACCCGGGTCAATGCAAACACGTGCCTGTCAGGCTTTGCAGGATCCTGCAAGATCCTGCAGGATCCTGCAAAGGTCCTGCACGCAAGCCCGGATCGATGCACCCCTGGCTCTGCAGGATCCTGCAAGATCCAGCGCTCTGAGAGACCCCTGCTTGAATTGACCCTTCTCTTGAGCCCCGATGCTTCCAGCCTGTCGCCGACTGGAGGAGCGAACGGCCCTGACTCATGCGAGTCGCCACTCTCCACGCCCACTCTGTCTCCGCCTTGTCCAGGCCAGTCTGTGGGCCTTCTTGATACTGGCCCACGGAGGGGGGGATCTGTCCATTACCGCCGCCTGGGGACCCGATGCCCTGGGATCCCAGGGGGCGGGGGATGTTGAAGTGGCTGTCTTTGGGGCCGTTGCGCCGAGAGCCGAGATACACCCATACCAAACGCCCCCCGAGGCCCAGCAGGGTCGCGCTCGCGGGCGGGGCACGCGGGCCGATCCTGGCCCTGGCCTGCAGCAGCGCTCTGCACGTGGGCACCACCGACGCCGCCGTGCGGTGGCCTCGCAGGCCTCGCACGATGCTTCGCACCACGCCCTGGCACGAGCACGCTCAAGCTGGACCCGAAGAGGGTGGAGGGAGGCCTCTCGGACACGAGCCCCGCCCTGGGCGCCTCGGAGGCGCCGGCTTGCACTCGCCCTGCCTGCTCCCCGCTGGCCTGAGCCAGCACCGGCGCAGGCCACCGCGGCCACGCGCCTGGCTTGGCACTCTGCCAACTCCCCCAGCCGCAGGATTGGAGGCAGAGCCTGGACTTGGCCCAGCCAGAGCCTTTGCAGTGGTGGTGTCAAGTGCAGAGGCCTCCTGGGTGGGGCCCAGACAGACAGGGTCGGAGGGTTGCACCGCATCGCCGATGCATCGACGGTGCATCGGCGACGTCGGCGATACATCGGCGTCGTCGGCGTTGATAAAATCGGGCCCCACATCGAGCCACATCGCCGATGCATCGGCGATGCATCAGCGATGCGGCGACTGCGAGGCCTAGAAGGTGGCAGGAGGCAGATGGAGGAAGTGTAGCGATAGTGGAAGCACCAGCTCCCTTGTCGGTGAAACACCCAGCTCTGGAGTGGTCCCACTTCGAGGAGCGTGTCATGCCGCGTGCTGTTGGCACCGCAGCGGTACCGCGCTTCACTTGATCAGTTGCACCCTCAGCGGCACGCCTGTGAGAAAGGCATCTGTTAAGAACGGCGCCGGGGGGCAAGCTCGGCGCCCCTGCGCCGAGGAGAAAGCAGCTGAAGAAGCTGTGTGTGTGTGTGTTTGTTCGGTAGCGGCAGCGTCGTGGCACTGCCAGTCGTAGCTATAGTTGCAGCGGAGGTGGTAGCGACACTGGTCGTGGTTGACGCAGCTGCGGTTGCCGCAGCAGCCGACGTAGCCATCATGACAAAAAAAAATCGTGGTGCTGGTGGGGGCGGTCTCCACAGGATCCGGCGGCGTAGGCGGAACGCCCAGGAGGAGAACCGTCGCCAGGAGCCTCCAGTCGTTAGCGTCATCATTAGGATTGAGTCGGCGGTGTCCCCCTACAGGGGGATCTTGGACGAACAATAAAAAATACGCAGAACAAGTTCAATGCGGACCACAAATACACCAAACATCGTCCCAAGACTATGTTTCGACTATTCTTCAATATTCCTCCTGTAGAGGGGCACGCCCGACTTTTACCTCCAGTCGTTCGTGCGCTCCTTGGGACTGCCAGCCAAAGCCGGGCCCCCCAGCCGACAGAACGTCCGAGCTCGCTCCGAAGAGCCCAGCGCCCGGCGGGCGAGGGTGGTCCCTCGCGGGGGCGTCGTGGGCCCACCCGCCCGACCTCGACGGAGCAAGGACTGTGCTGCGGCCTGGCCACTGGAAATTTCCAGGGGGCCACATGCGAACCCTGCCCCCCACCCCCCACGATTTCTGAGGATCAGGGCGGGGTTCACTGCGCTCGGAAGCTCCCAAGCGAAGTGAACCCCACCCTCCCCCTCAGAAATCGTGGGGGGTAGGGGTAGGGTTCGAATGTGGCCCCCTAATTTCGTCATACGAATTCACGTGGGATTTGTCTCACGAGACCAGGCCCGAAGCATCGAGATCGTGCCCGTCCCTCATGCTCCCCCCACAGCATCCCTCCTCAGGGAAGAGAGCTCATCGCCCAATCCTCTAAAACCGAGCGCGCCTGGTCGATCCCCGCAACCCGTAGCCCCCGCGGCAGCTACGCGCATCCCCATCGCTCCATTTCGTCACCACGGCGGCGCGATCGTCCATGCTATCCTCGCCATCGCTATCATCCTCGGTGCTCGTCCTATGCAACATCGTGATCTTCCTCATCCCTCTCACCGACGTCGACTCGACCCATTGATCCTGGGCATCTGCGGCATCACCTTCAAACTCGCCGTCACCGCGTTCATCGCTTGCATGCGACACCGCACACGACCGTCCGATGGAAACGCCAGACCTCTGCCGTCAAAATTGGTACACGCCTCGGTTTCCCGAGCTCTCGACCAACTTTTCGTCGCCGGGGGAAGGTTCGACTGTCCTCTGGCCTGACGCGGCCGTCCAGATGCTGATCTGTCCAAAACGCGAGAGACTGGTCTGATTCGTTCAAGACACCCGAGACCTGGGAACCATTACTATTTTCCACATTGGGCAATGCGGAGTGGGCTCGAGGCTCCGTCGCCGCTGAGGGGATGGCTCCAAGCTCTGCTGGGCACCGTCCTTGCCTGACATCGTCGGGAAAGGGACGCCATCGTTGACGGCAGGCCCAGACACCACCTTGGGGAGAGCAATCGCGTAAACTACAGCATGCATCAACATTTGTGCACTGAGATGGCGCTCTCATATCCAGCCAATTGGTCTAAGGCCCTCTCAAAATGCTCCGCATCACAAATCGAATCTGTCATTGAATATTGCTGGTATGTAGCAGTGCACAGATTGAAATGAAAGGCTGAAGGTGAATGCACGTGGGGACATGTATTTGGAAAGATCGTTGCCTGTATACTGGCACCAGCAGATAAGAAGATTAACACTTCGGCGATAGCGTGCGCGCAAGCGGGAACCACTCAAACGTAGCACTGCGTATACCGAGGGTGTCCGAGGATGGCGCCAGAACGCACGAAAAAGGCACCCACCATCGCAATGTGGACGAATGGTCAACAAGAAGGGCATCACAGTACTCCGAGTTTCTTAATAAGCGTCGTGGGGGGCATCACCTCCGCCGACCGCCCCACATCGAACCCCGTCGTGGGCAGCCACCGCGCGCCGAAGGCGCTCCGACCCCCGTCGCGGCGCGACGACGAGGCGGGGTTGAACCCCCGTCGGTGGGGTGCCCCCCCCCACGCTTATTAAGAATCCCAGAGTAGTTAGCAAATACGAATGCTTATGGAGAAACCGATGCAGTGCGATGTGGGAGAGAACGTTGCTGCCATCTGGCAGCCCTCACGCCGACGATATCAGTCATATGACTCACCAGGGGCGCCACAAACTTTGCGATTCGCGCTGCGCGAGGAGCGAAGCGCGAATCTCACTTCGCGCTCTCGCGCCGCCCCCCGCGAGGGAGGAGGAGGAGGAGGAGGACAAGGAATCGGAGCCGAACCGCGAAGAGCGAACAACTTTCCGCCCTCCAGGGCGCCCTTGGATGACACTACAGTGGGGGGCATTGGACAAGGAACCCTTAGATAAGGAATCCAGGGTCTGGAAGCCGGTGCAATTCCAATTAAGGATTGGCCGTGGAGATCACCGCCGCCATCATCAAATAAGGAATCCTCCAGGGTGTCAAGCCTCCTGGGCACATTCCTTAACTAACGCCCCCACCGTATCCCCAGCAGGCGGAGCAACCGAATGCCCACGACTGGTGGCCCGCTGGCACGAACAAGGCAAGCCGCGAGCCTTCACCCGCTGCGCCTGGGGCCTCCCCTCGTCGAAGACGAGGTCGAACTCCACCGTCTCGCCTGCAGCCACTAGCGCGCGACCGAAGCACTTACGCTTCAGGGTTCGAGCTGAACAATGTTGTTCGTTTTCGTTTTGTGTTCGTTTTCCTTCGTTCTGTCTTCAATCTGGCTTTGCCTTCGTTTGTCTTCGGTCCACCCGTAGAGAAAGGACGCACACTGAGGATGCAATGGACTTGGAAGGCCGCTTCGAGAGCTGGGCGCGGCCAGCGAAAGCGGCCAAGGATGGGCCTCGTACAGTCAACCCGTACGAGGAGGACGCACGACAAGGATGGAGGGGCCTTGGAAGGCCACCTCGACCCTGTGCGGGCGGGGCCGCGGCCAGCGAAAGCGGCCAAGGATGGGCCGAAGGGGAAGGACGAAAGTGAAGGGGCCTGGGACACACAAATCCGCCGATCCGGCGTGTGAGTTTCAAGGAGTCTCAGCTACAGCCTCGAGGCTGAGCCTCAGCCTCTGGGGGGGTTGCCGGAGTGGCTCTGCCGGGGAAGGGAGGATGGGGGGGGGGGGTGCGAGTTTCCGGCGGATGCGGGGCGCTGCTTTTACAGAAGGCTCTAATCTCGAGGATGCGCTGGAAGGGTGGCCGCGGCCGCAAAAGTCTCTGAGGACGGTCTACGAAAGTCCCGAGACCCTGAAGGATCGCCCGAACACGCCCAAGATGGCCCCAAGACGGCCCAAGAGCCTTCCACGACGTCTGAAGAGGCCTCCAAGAGGCCTCCCACGATGGCCCCCCAGAGGCAAAAATCGTTGATTCCCATTGGTTTTTTGAATGTTTTTGGGGTTGTCGTTTTTTTCGGCTTTCCGACGCTCCAAGACGGCCCAAGAGGCCCCAAAGACCGCTCGAAGACGGCCCAGGAGGCCCCCAGACAGTCCCAAGAGGGGGAGGAGCCTCGCGTGTCCGATGCGACAGCTCAGTGCTCGCGGCCTACTCTGCGCACCTCGCGCACCCTGGGCGGTCCGTATGTCGACGCTGGGTGCTGTGAGGCGCCACTTTGGCAGCACCTGGCCAGGTGGCTGCCGACGCTGTCTCCACTCTGTAGGACAAGGGAGTCGTAGCCACCCAAACAGCCAATCAGACCACAAAGGCCCGAGGTGTGCCTGTTCAGGCGGACGCCCCACTACAAAGAGAAAAAGTGAGCTGCTATTTAAGCCGGGTCCAAGTCAATAGCGGAGGAGGACGACCAGGAGGCAGCAGAGGACGAGGGCGCAAGTGTCCTCGTCTAGAAGGAGGAGGGGGAGGAGGATGCGGAGGAGGAGGAGGAGCAGGAGGAGGGGGAGGAGAAAAGGGAGAAGGATTCTCCCGCTCGCGCGCTAGCGAGCTGTCTCCGAGCGCGGCCGCGGCGTGCGCGCGCGGGGCGGCCCAAAATGGGCAGGCCCGTCCCGCGCGCTCAAGCCGGGGCGCCGCGCGTCAGGCGGTGGAGTCCGCCTGCTCGCCGACGTCGGCGAGGCAGCGCCCGTCAGCCTTAGATTGGGAGAGGAGGGAGGGGGGCAGAGAAGCTGCGGAGACAGCAGGAGCTTGCTCACAGAGAATAGAAGAGGCATTCTCCCGCTCGCGCGCTAGCGAGCTGTCTCCGAGCGCGGCCGCGGCGTGCGCGCGCGGGGCGGCCCAAAATGGGCAGGCCCGTCCCGCGCGCTCAAGCCGGGGCGCCGCGCGTCAGGCGGGGAGTCCGCCTGGTCGCCGAGGTCGGCGAGGCAGCCATACCCGTGCTCAAGGACCTTGCGAAGTGACAAGGTTTTGGCGGGCGGCCGCAAGAGGGCAGGCCAAGCGGCGGGGCCGACTTGGAGGAACGAAGCGACAAGGCGGTCGCTGGCGGTGGCGAAGAACAAGATCCGCGCCCGTGCGGGCTCGGGCAGCGCAGCAAGAACTGTGGAAGCGGCGGCGGCTTGCAGGTAGCGCTCGGCACTGGAAGCTTGACGCCAACGCCCTCGCCAGAAGACGCGAGGGACGTCTTCCGTAGCGATATAGAAGTCTGTTGCGCCAGAGCCCCGCAGACATGCGGGCGTCAGGTTGAGCCCCTGACCTGCTTTGGCAAGAGGGACGCCCAGGGCCGAAAGCAGATGATTCCACCGAGTACGGAAGCCGCTCGCACCGAAAGGGGCGAGAGGATCGGTGGAAGCCAACCTCCCAAACACTTGATTCAGACCTTCACCGTGCCCCGATCGGAGCAGCGAGCATGCTGCGTCGGGTACGTTCTTCTGGTCTTTGGAACAAGAATCGAGAGAAAAGCATCCCCTTCAACTTCGAGGCGGTCGCATGGAAGCGACAGGTCACAGCGGCGTGACGCCAGCAGTTCGCCAGGCCTGAGGAACATCGTGAAGCCCATGAGCAGCAAGGCCGCCATCACAGGCCAGTCCCAGGCGAGACAGAGACCGACCATAGCGCGCAGCAGAGCGCGTGGTAAGGGGGGCGGAGCTTTGGCGGCTCCGCGAGCTTCCATTGTTTCGCTACGTCCCAAGCTTCAGTTAGAAAGGCCTTCCAATGCGGATGAGCGCTCTGGATTCCCAAGATGGCATGAACCAGAATATAATGAGGGAAACCTGCATCATGAAGCCACACGCCGAAGGTCGCGAGGAAACGGGCGAGAAGTATCCCGCTACGGTAAAGAGTGGCGGGTGGCACGCCAGTGTGTTCTGCTAACCACAGCTCGAACGCATCAATCGATCTCGAGCGACGATCGAGATACGCGGAGGTGAGGTGAGAATCGCGCACGAAGGGAGTGCGCGGAGGGCGAGCGGGCGCGGAAGGCGCAGCCCGACTAAGCCCTTGGCCTGCGGTCGGCGCCGCGGCTCCCAGAGAGATGCAGAGGCCGCAGACGCACCACAGGATGAGCGCAGGGCGGCCAGGGCTGGGAGAGCTGATCAGCGTGGCGGCCCTCCTGCTCCTGGACGCGTAGAAGGGCGGAACGAGGGTGTCCCGCCCGTCGGTCTCGAACCCCGACGCCTCCGCCAGCATCGCCCGCGCCGAGGTGAAGGATCCGCCCATGTTACGGTGAGCACGGCGAGCCCCTGCTTCGATCTCGGCGGGCAGAGCGTCCCCTCCCTCGAGGGTCGCCCAGTCAAAGGGCGGGCGCGGCTCGGCGCGCGCAGCTGCGGCCGATTCGGCGAGCTCGGAACGAGCTGCCGAGGACGTGAGGCCCGAATGATGTGGAACGGGCACCACCTCCGCGAAGGCGTCGAGGATCTCGGACGGAGGGGAATGCGATCCCCACAGCGCTGCTGGGATGGCGCCGTGACCGTCCTGCACGTGGTACAGAAGGTCGAAAAGGCAGGCCAACTTGCCCGCGCGCCGCCTGTGCTCGATCTTTGAGCCGAGCCCGATGCCACGGATGGCGCCCGCCCCCATGGCTTGGAGGTCAGCGTCCGCGGGGATAGCCTCGGGCTCGACGACGGCCACGTAAGGATGCAACCACGAGGCTTCGTCGATCGGCTCGGCGCCGCCTGTCTGAAACAGGCGCTTATAGGCGTGCAAGGCCCGCAGGAGGCAGTGCAGGTCATCTCTGCCCTCGGGCTCGGCGGCCCCTGCGGGTGCGAAAGACCTCAGCCACGACGCCGCGCTCTGGAAGGCAGCTTGCCAGGCGGGTCCCCACCTCACCACTGTGACCTTCTCACCGCCGATGTTGAGACGCCACGCTAGGGCGGTGGCGGCCCCTGGAGGCAAGGGCTGCTCAACGGCCGCAGAGGCCGTGCGCCGCGCTGCGAAGGCTGCAGCCGCGGCGCTCCCAGCGTCACCGCTGTGGGAGCCGCTGAGATGCAGCTCGTGCTCTGAAGCTCGGCCAGGCGCGGGGCCGCTCGAAGACCCCCTTTCCTCGGCGGCACGCCCTCCGCCCTGCGGGGCCGCAACAGCATCGCTGGAGGAGCGCGTGCCTACCGAAGACGGAGGGGCCTGAGCAGCGGAGTCCGCGCGGGAGCTGCCTGCGTGGGCGTCGCCCGAGCTCGCACCATGGCGGGACGTGGCTGGCCGCTGCGCAGCAGCGGGGCTCGGGCGCCGCTTCGGAGCGACTCGAGGGGAGCGCACCTCGCGACGCCCAGGCGACGTAGCCTGACGCGAAGGCGCGCGAGAGGAGTCGCGCGCGACGGCCCGACTAAGCCCCTGGCCTGCGGCCGACGCGCGGGATCGCGACGCCGCACGCCCACCAGAGTGGTGAGGGGGCGGCGGCGGCGGCGGGGGCACGGGCCGCGGCGTCTCGGAGCCTGCACGCGTGCCGCGGCCCCGAGAGCGGCTGCGAGCCGAGGCGTGAGCGGCGGGCGGAGAGGCCCCCGAGCGGCGAGGGAAGGCCGCCTGCAGGCGGAGGAGGACCTCGGGGTTCAGGCCCGCCACGACGCGCTCGAGGTCCACCGAGGAGTCTGCGAGGGCACTCAGCACGACGTCCTCGAGCTCCGTCGGAGAGTCCTCGTCGCACGCGGGCTCCGCTCTCGAGCGGCTGCGAACGCTCGCGGGCGGGGACCCGTCAGGAGTGCGCGGGCCCTCCGATGCCTCCCCCGCCGGCGGCTCCGACGGCTCCTCGGGCGAGATCGGGCCGTCGACGGGAGGCGACGAGCAGCCCCCCGAGGGAGAGGTGTGGTCAGTCCCGTACGGGTTTGGAGACCGCGTGCGGCTGCGGGCAGGGCTGCGGCTCCGCGGTGGGGAGCCCACTCCCGCGGCGGAGCTGGGGCGTGCCGCGCCTGCCCAGCGGCGCGCATTGGCAGTGCGACGCGCCCTGCGGCCAGGCGCCGTGGCGGCCCCCCCCTCAGGGGCGGGGAGCGCCGCCATCGAAGCCCGCCGCTGCTTGGCGGCGCGCCTGGTGCGCGCGGCGCCCGTGCGCGAGGCGGAGTGCGGCGCGTGACCACCGCGGTTGGGCTGGTCCTCGACCGCTTCATCCCGCGGGCCCAGGCGGGCGCGGACCGCGCGCCCCTCACGACGGCTGAAGCTGGACGCAGGGTCGTCGGCGGGCCTTGCCAAGGCGCGCGGGTCCTCAGCCTCCACCTCGGCCAAGGAGCGGCCAGTGGACGACGCGGGTGCGTCCCCAGCACGAGCGGCACGTTCTGCGATGGCGAGGCCCGTCGAGACCTCAGCGTTGTGCAGGACGGCGCGCAGAGTTTTGCGCCAATCCCGACCCAGCTGGACGGGAGCCGTGCGCGGCAAGCCCGCGGCCTCACGACTGGCGGCCTCGCGCAAGCGTCGGAAGTAGGCGCGATCGGCCATCCCTTCCGCGAGCTCGGCACGAGCGACGGCACGCTCGCCTTCGCCGCGTGCAGGAGCCTGCACCGTGCGCCTGGTGGCGTCGGCACGCGCGGTGCGGAGTGCGTCGAGCTCCACGCGGCCGCGCGACACGGCGGAGACGAGGATGGCATCCGACTCAGCCGCCCGCGTCGCGAGGGCAGACGAAACCCCGCCCCTCGGGAGAGGCGCGCCCGAGGCGGGGAGGGCAGCCCGAGGGGCCAGCTCGGCGCTCGCTAGGGCGACCCGCGAGGAGACCGCCTCTTCGAGCGCCTGAAGGGCCATGGTCGACCCAGGAGCCAGCTTGCCCTTGCGGGCGCCCTTTCCTGCCGCTTTGGCCTGGGCGTAGGCGCGGGCGGCAGGACCGTCACCGCCCGTGCTAGGACCATCGGGCGGCGCGGCGGCCTGCGAGACGGCCTGGAGCAACACTGACTTGGCGTCACAGAGCTGCTTCCACTTCAGCGCGCGGGCTGCTCGCTCGTCGGCACCCAAGTGCGCAGGAGTCCTGTCTGGATGGTAGACTAGGGACTGGCGCCTGAAGGCGGCCTCAATGGTGCTGCGCGAGGCCCCGTCCACTACGCCAAGCAGTTGGCGAGAGGCGCTCACCCTGGCCGCTCGCTGGAAGATGCGGGGGGTAGCTGCTGAGGCCCCCTTTGGTGCTTCCCGCGAGCCGACGCGCGACGAGCCCACCCCGATGGCAGGCGGAGGGACCGCCGCGGCCTTGGAGCGGAGGGCCAGAGGCGGAGCACGCTTGGCGGCCTGGGGAGCCGATCCTGCGCTGGCGGCGCCAGGGTCGGGGCCGGGCGAGCCGCCCTCCGCGGAGGCAGACGCTTTTGGCGTGGCGTCTGCCGTGGACGTGAGAGGCCGTTCGCTAGCGAAGAGCGCGTTGCGAGGCCCGCGACGCTCTCCGCTGGCGAGAGCAGCTTCACTGCTGCTCTCGGCGGCGCCCGAGGGGTCAGGTGCCTCGCCCTGGGCGCCGTCACCGGCGGCGTCGGCGGCCATC